AATAGAGTTTCGTCAGAAACCTTCAGCATCTTAGATTCAGCAGGTTGTTTTATTCTATAACAAACACCTTTAGGGCTTCTGACGACTTTCGCACAAACAGCTTTAAAAACTACTGAAGAAATCAATCATTCTTGAAAAGCTACTAAGCAAGATAATTGTAACAAGCAAGCTACTTCTCCTCAAAATGTTGTCCCCCTCGGCTCAGGTTCTACCAACGTTGCTCGAATTACTGAGTCGACTATGGCGTAAACTTTACATAAGGCGGCAATGTCTGTAACTGAAAGATTGCATGCACCACGGGTCCCCTATCAGTCAACTTCTATCTCTCTGAATCTCATCTGTCTGACTGGATTTTCCTTGTCTCCACGAGTAGTCCCCCATTTTTCCTCTGGAATAGTAGAGCGAGCGAAACGCGAGCGCGCGTGAAAACCACCCCATGCGAACGGACCTCTGGAGGGTAACCCGTGATGAGTTTCCTGTCTTTCCTAGCACGCGAAGATTTTATGGAGTGCAATAGTCAAGGAGGTCAGCAAACTGGCCATCAGCTGCAAACTGACATGCGGCAAACCTGACTGTGATGCAAGTTTTACAATCTGCTAAATAAAGACTTGATTCTAGAAATCATTTAAAATAAAGCCCAACCCCAGCGAATAGAGGGCATTTACACGCCACTTTGTTGTCAATTGTAAATGTTCTTGTTCTAGTCACGAGTCTATTAAAAGTGCGTGCTTTCCCGTTCTCGACAACTCCCAGTCACGAACAACTTCAACTTTAACACGGATTTTGGATAATGGGGAAAAAAGTGAATAACTTTCTTTGACCCTGCCCGACCCTGCACAGCAGCTAAGAAAAGGCATCCAGCTACAATAGTTTCGCGAAAATTGGCAAACTTCCTCCGCGGCCGTTCCTAGTTGAGGAACCTGAAACTGTACCCAGTGAGCTTGATCACGAAATAGAAGCCTCTGCACGCAAGATAGAATCATTGCCACTCGACTAAAGTTTTAGCTTAAAATACTGTAATCTCGGATGATCGGATTTCTGACCTAAAAATAACATAATTTTTTTTTTATCCTCACGAAAGCAAATGAGACAAAAGACGGTTTTTGTCCACCAGACATAATTGCCTCTTTTTGTAGCGTAAGCTTGAAAGTTAGGTTTAATGTTGATATCTGGAAAGAGTGAATTTTATACGTGGGTAAAAAAAATCTGCTCGTAGTTTTTAATGGCACGTAATCTGTCAAACATTTTTTTGTTGAGTTTTGTGACAAAATATATGACGTTCAGGTCCTTGATATCGATGAAATGGTTTCAATTCTTTCACAGTGAAAAGAATTAACATTTTGATCAGAAGCATATTCACATATACAATCTCAGTCCAACACGCGTAGGTTGAAAAATATTTGTTACTTCATTTATGAGCTCGACATTTAGTAAATAAAGAATGGAAATTGAAATGGTTGAAACTTAAAGGTTCGAAACGGTTATCTGTTTTTAAGTTCTTAAGACATCAGAAAGTGTCTTCTCCTAAACTAATTGTCAACGACCGGCGTTCGTAGGATGGTTTGCAGACAGCATCAGGCCTAACTATGGCTTGTGAAATCAAGATGGCGACGTCAAGCAACCACGGAAACCGGTGCTTATACCATTTACTCTGGATGTCAGTGTTAAATATTAGGCAATAATGAAAGAAGCGATTTTACTACGATTCTTCATTCAAGGTAAGCTCGCGTTATTGTTTTGTTATTGCACAACACAATGTTCGCCGGGGGGTTCGTATATATTTTCATTGGAGACAACCTTCATTGTGGACACTTGATTTTGTTTTATTCTTCATGAATTTTATTTCCGCCAAATTCTCCGACATCTTTCTAACAAGATCGGATCATTGACTATAGCTTTAAAGTTTTTTTCAAGTTTAAAACTGTTGCATCAACCACGGCGCGCTTTGTGGTGCAGGTTTTTTAGATTTTGGCGCCGACAAGTTTTTTTTTGTACGTAGCTCTTCAAAATTCCACTTCGTCACGTTAAGTACAAATCTAAATAATTGATCACGAAGGTTGTAACACCATTATTACTTTATTTCACTGTTATTCTCTTATTCAAAAGTTTTTGGTGTTTAAACTGATGTATTCTCTTGTTTTGTATTTGGGTTTCATCCGAGAAATAGCTTCGTCGATCTTAATTCTTCGCGAAGAGTTAACTAGGCGAAATCTTTTCATTTTATATTTTATTTGGTCATATTTAAGATTTTACGCAAATTGAAAAGAGTGTGTCAGAGTTGATTTTATTACGGCTCCATAAGGTAACAAGATCTTAAAACACGAAGAAAATATAATTTTGTCTGCTGCAATATCATCTTATATATCATCTTCTCTGTGTTGATCAATATTGCAACCAAGGTCGGTTTGTTTACTTATCGATGACCTACTTTTCTCAGTACTCGTGCAATGTCACAACATAAAAAAGTAAACAGGTCGAGTTTATCATTACAGATATTATATTAAGATATGAAATTTTCGTTGTTGTGCATGTCTTCTTGCTGGTTACCGATACCTATAGCTTGAGATATCTTGGAAAAAAACATTTTCAAGAAAAGTAATGAAATGTACTTGATTTAAGGAGTTGAAAGGGTGTATAAACGTTTATGATACTTAAGCAACGGACAGCCTCTTGGTGAAAATCATTATATTCTTATAACTCTCAGTTAATAAATAAATTGCATGCAATAATATAAGTGACATGTTTACTCTCTATATCCATATTATAGACTGCAAACACGAAAGGTGAAAATGTGTCATATGTTTTCCCCTAGTCTGTTTCTTTTTGCCCTCTTTTTTAGCCGAATACAAGCAAAACCAGTCTTGTTTTGAACTCCTGTTATTAATATTATGAACAGCTCTGTATTGCAGCCAGTTAACTTGGTATAAGCTTCGTTTATTGACTGAGTTACTGGTCAGGCCAGATGGGGAAATATTTAATTGGGTTAAGGACAGTCCGTCCTGACCGAGAGCCAAATATTCTCTCTCCCTGGCCGACCTAACTCAGTCAATAACCATGTTGTCCTTTGACCGTTGTGTTCCTATATTTTTCCGATGGAGCAAACCTGTGTCGGTGAATACATTTTTCTGGCAGGGCTGGATGTGCTTTCCCGGCCTTACCTACTTAATGACGTGCATGTCCCTCATACAGGACTTCTTTTCCTGTGGTTTATCAATGAAATTGTACTCCAGGCCGTACAGGTCATATAATAATAAAATATTATTCCCACCCCTATTCCGACCTTTTACCTCTGCTGTCTGGATTGACACTTGGCTCTTTCCTGTTGGTGTCCATTTTCATGAGGCCTGATCTGCAGTTATGGAAGTCACAATGACATTCATTGCAAAAGAATACTAATGTCAGTATCTCACGGAAACTTTTTTTCTCTGGTCCTGGTTGTTCAAACATTGGTGAGCTCCATCCACTTGAAAATGATGAGCGAGTCATCGAAACGTCATTCAAAATTTTTATCGTTTATTTTTATTCTTAAATGTTCAGTGGATGAGTATTAGGAAAACAAATATTGCATTTATCCACTGAATGCAGATTTATCCAGTGGATAATATTATCCACTTTTCAAACAGCTGGGCCCTGTATTTTGGCCTTGGCGACTTGGCTGTTACAAAGGAGGGTAAAGGAACTTGGTACAGCTGGAAAGACTCTTCAATTCAAGTTATTGTGTCTACACTGAGGACTCAACTTCTTTTGATTGGTTAAACCCCTTATTTCCCCCTATAATGTTGCACCAGAAAAGAGCTTATTTGTACGTATCTTGCTTGTGACACCAAAAGAACTTACCATCTTGCTCATGAGTCAACATTATTTGGGGAGGGAGGTAGCATAATCAGTTCAATCAATGTTATGTTAACTGTCCCATATCACTTTTAAACCCTCCCCCTGCAGATCAAATGAAATGAACCACTTAGTTACATGTGGTCTTAAAAGAGAAAAAACGTGAAGGATTGAAATTTCTAAGAACCCAATTAAATCATGCTTCTAAATACCTGAGAAGAAACTGTCCCTTCTTAGGGCCTGTTTATAAGGAGAGAGGGTTACCCTTGTGCTAGGGTTACCCTAGCAAGCGGGTTAAAGTTAGCTCTGGTTTACAAGCTAATTTCACAGGTAGGGTTGCCCTATCACCTGGGTTAACTTTACCAGCTTCACTGAAGTGGTGCCACATGCGTGACATTCTTTGTAATGTCCAAGATTTGAAATAGAAGGACGTTCTCTAAGGAAAACACATTAAATTCACAAAATAACGGGAAAATATTATCATCGTATACAGAAAATACCTTATATTGTTCAGATGTTTATAATTTAGCTCAGAATTGGATAATTTCCGTTCAAATTGTTAAGATTACTGGTCATGCATGACAGAAGACAGTTGTCCTTGTAGGATTCTATCTAGGGTATTTGAGAGGTGGAAGCTTCTCCCCCCAAAAATATTGTTATCGTTGAGGTATATAGGTAACTATATTGGAAAAATCATCCAGATGCGACAAGGTCATTGCACACACTGTAACATTTCTCAAAATTGTGTCTGAAAATGCACCAGACTGCACCTCAGAGCATATTCATTGCAAAACATTTCCAGGGGGGGTGGGGCTTGCCCCCAAACCCCACTAGGAAGCTCGTTGCCTTCGGCGACTCAGGACTTCTCCCCCAAACAATAAATCCTAGATAGAACCCTGCCTGGGTAGGCGAGTTATCCCTAGCAGAATGGGTAACCCTAGCACTCAGCGAGGTTACCCTTGTGCTAGGGTAACCCTACCTTTCTTGTAAACATGTCATGTAAAAGAAGAAGAAATGTGCGAGTGCTGGGTAACCCTAGCACCAGGGTTACCCTCCCTCCTTGTAAACAGGGCCCTAGAAAGAACCATTGTATGACTTTTATTTGTTCAGACCTCTAAATGTAGATTGTATTTAAATATTATTACAATATATTTTATTATTGATATTTTGTTTTTTTCTGGTTTATTGTAGGGCTTCTCGTCCTTCTTAGTCCACTCACAACAGCATCCAACAGGTTCTTTTTCAATGAAACATCATTAATACAAGTGTCAAGTGCAGTAGTTCCTCTTACTAGTGGTTTTGATTTAACATTTAGAACTTGCAATGGTGGAGTTTTGCTCAGCCAAAAGGGTACAAACAATGGTTTCTTCACCCTTGAAGTTGTGCCCACGGTGGTGAACTATTCACATACTCCTACATTATTTATTGCCAGTCACCTCAGAATGACTTGGGAGATAAGTGGTACAAGACAGTTTGTTACAGTAGGAACAAAGCTGGATCAGAATTTTAATTATAAAGTGGAATTTGTTGCTGGAAGTGGAGCCATAAATTCAACACTTGTACTAACTGGTATATCATCTGTTGATGTTCCAAATAGTATTTTAGGATTTCGTAATTCTGGCCCTTTAAGGGCAGGGCAAGGATTCGTTGGTTGCATTGGAAGTGGCACAAACATTCAGCTCAGAGACAGTGGACCTGGGACGTTTTTTAACATCAAAAACTGTACTCTTGATAACCAGCAAGGATGCCCTGATAAAGGTTAGTGTCAGTGACAAATTTTTTGTATTATTATTCATTCACAATATTTTTCATATCTGATTGGCGGAAATCCCCCAGCTAATTTTATTCTTCATTATAAAGCAGCTGGCATTTTCCAAATTTGAAAGGTGTGAGCAACATACATTGTACAGTTCCAGTTTTAGTTTGTTTATTTACCAGAAAAAAATACATATACAAACAGACATTCAATGACTAAAATGTTATTTAAAATTAAACAGACATAAATTGTAAGTTGTAAAAGAATTAAAAGTATTTTTCTGGTGAGGAAGCTAAAATAGAAACCTTGGGGCTTATTATATGAGCCCCTCCCTAAGACTAACTATTATGAATAAATAAGTGGCGAAATCAAACTGAAATGTAATTAGGATGAAAAGCAAGCAAAACAAAACAGACAAAAAGCGGCAAAAATCAAGTACTATTTACAAGTGGTGAATCAGCTAAGATTATTGAATGATGGTTTACTTGCTTGAAAATGAGGTTGATCAATGGTATATTTGTGTGGAAACGAGGCTAATTGGGAAACAGTTATGCTGGATTTATGGGTCTTTCTGCAGGTACTGTCATCAAAAAAGAAATAAAGGAACCAAAACAATGTTAAAGTTCTCCTCGAGGCTTTATTGTTTGGTTGTAATTCCTCTATTGTACATAATCTGTCTGTTTTTAGAACAAAAAACACGGAAAGACGAAAGAAAACCCGCAAAGGTATTAGAGCCATGAAAACGGAATCCAACAGAAAATACTTAAAGAACCTCTCCAGTCTAGAACTTACAAATGATCAGGAGCCAGCATTCGCTTGACCGTTTGGAAATGGTCCGGTGAGAGTCAGTACCCAGGGGCTCTTCTGCTCATGCTTGAAAACTTTCATCGCGCCTTGTCTCCCAACCCGAATGACAGCCCTGGGTCTCTGAGGATGCGACACCCATGGAACTTTGCCATTGCAATTTTGTAATTTCACATGCACAATAATTATTATGAATTAACGCTGAAATTTAGTGCCAAAATTAAGGAGTAATTTGTCACCCATGAAATAAGATTGATAACCCTTCTGCACATGTTGACTTGCAGTTTGCCCTACTGGTTTTACTGGAGATTACTGTGAAATAAACATTGATGATTGTGCACAGTTTCCATGTCATCACTACAGTACATGTAAAGACCTCATTGGTAATTACAGCTGTGTATGTGGGCCTCGCTGGACTGGCAGACACTGTGATAACCACTTAGGATCTTTATGCAATTCTTCTCTTTGCCAAAATGGAGGCCACTGTAGAGACACTGCGGACTTCAATAACTACACCTGTACATGTGCTCCTGGTTACACTGGGAGGAACTGTGGAGTCCAATTTGATCCTTGTGACAGTTCTCCATGTCAACAAGGTGGAACATGTTCTAAGCTTGGAAGTGAAAATTTCCAGTGTGCCTGTCCTTCAGGTTAGTCTTCAATTGCCATTTGAACTGTTTGTCTATCAATGTAATTAGATACTGTAAAGTCTCGTCACTGGGCCTTGTTCTAGCTTGTGTTGGAAATCACCGGCGATTTTACAATCAGTCATCAAAAATAGTCAGATTGACCCAAATGAGCAATCATCAATTATAATATTGGCAAGATCTCTCTATAGCAATTCCATTATATTTTTCACCTTTGTGCAAGTCAAGGTACATAGTACATGCACTAGAAACTTTTTTTAGTTTTTGACTTTAGACCACTGAGCGTAGAATTGTTTCTGTGCTTTCGGGTGATCAATTTCTCTTTCTTCTTTAATTATGAGACGATTAAAAAGACAACACTCAAGTTCTCAATACTGTACTTTTATCTGCCAAAGATATATTTTTTTACTTCAATAATTGATTGAACATTTTCCATAGTCTACTATCCCAAGAAAGATTTCAGATCGATGATTGGCACACCCCTGGTTCTACAGTGTAGAACCAGGGGTACTGTGCCTGGTGACTCACTTTTGGCTTTTAGTGCATAACAAGGACGACTTAGTTTTAGCATAGTGTAAAATGCTGGCCACAATTTGATGCCATATCTCTCTCTCTCTGCTGGAAATTCTCCTGCGCCCAGCTGACAAGTTCCCACCACATTGCCTTGCAGTCTATCACTGCAGTTTTATTTCCGAAACTGATTCCAAACACAGGGCCTGAAATAATTTTGCTACTGGCACCGGTCAAGTTCCAGTGAAACCTACTTTTGCTCGGACACACCCCTTTACCAGACAATTACAAATAATTTATTATGACATACATGTATCTCTATAAATTTAAACTAAATTTTTGGTTCATTAGAAGCGTAAAGGACCGGACAAAGTGTCCAGTCATCTAAGGATTTGACCAGCCAAACCTTGCTTTTGACCGGACATAATGTCCATTGACTGGCTGTTATTTCAAGCTCTGCCAACTAGTGGATGCAGTGTACAAAGATTACAGCCATACCTGATAGTGGCTAATCAGGGGCTAGTACCGAGCAGTTTATGTGATTAGGCTAGTGAATTCAACCCCTTGTTCATCAGGGCTGTTTTAACTTATTAATTATGGGTCCTTTTGACTTATTAATCATAGTAGTGGAGATGTTTCAGGCAAACACATTTTTACTTGCCTGAAGGGTAACCTGGAAATTTTTTTTTTTGCATTGAATGCTCAAAGTTATTGGACTCCCTATAGTTGGTTCAGTTCTTAAAGCACAGCCTTGATTAAAAAAAAATGTCATTTTGATGATTTTTGTACTTTTCACGCATTTATTATTTTCAGGGTTAACATTAAAATACCTTAACCCCTCATTTTGTTAAGATTTCTCTGTTTTAAAAAATAATCTGCAGAAAGTCTAATATAATACAGTCACTGTCACTTGACAACAGTGTAGGTATTTTAGCTGTCAATCCACAAATGTCTATTTATGAACTATAGGGGGAGGGGGGGGGGGGCAGCACAAACCAACTGAGAAATCTGTGACCACAACACAGTCATTATATTAGCTGCCTGTGCCACCATGTGCTCCTAGAGTATATATCTGTATGTGTCACTACGACAAGTTCATAGGTTATGGATAACTTTTTAACATAATTAATTTTTGTCTTTGAAAATTCAGGTTTTAAGGGCCCGACTTGTAATATAAATGTAAATGAATGTGGAACATTACCATGCAGCCATGGCTCATGTATTGATGGAATCAACAGCTACACTTGCAATTGTACTGGATCTGGTTATACAGGACAAACCTGTGCAGAGGATATTAACGAATGTGAAACTAACAACCCTTGTCATCCTAATGCGACTTGTACAAACTACCCTGGTACTTATCAGTGCAGCTGTCAACCTGGATTTACGGGCAAGAACTGTTATGAGAATGTTGATGACTGTCGTAGTAACCCCTGTAGAAATGGAGGTGAGTCATGTGCCAATCAGATCCAGTGCTGCACTCTTTTAGACTTTGATGAGCTACTCCGCTTGGTGTTGACTGGAACTCATCCAGGGAGCTTTTAATGTTACCAGAAAAAGGGGTAATACTGTCGGGAATTATCACAAGTTATAAGCGGGGTACTATCCTGTGTATGACTGGGTGTATAAATAAATGATTGTTAGTTAAAGGAGTAGTGGTTTGAAATCTGTAAATAGAACCTAAAGCCTATTTTGCCTTGGGATTAATTTTTCCTAGAAAAGTCACTCTGCCGCAGATTGGTCTTGGTCGCAAAACTGCAGCATGCAGTAAGCTCTCATGTCCCCTATGTCTTGAGTGGGTTGTGTGTTGACTGGGGAGAGCATGAGCCTCGCATGCCCTATGACCAGGGGGACTCCCCTATAAAAGTGACAGGGATGCTCACTGGAAAATGAAAATTACACCTCAAGTTTAAACTGACCCCTAAAGGAGATTTCTGTGTGGTCAGGGTTGCAGCATTTTTGGTAAAATTTAATTTCTTTATGCACAGCCCTTAGTGACTTTCCATCCCCCCCAAAATAAGTGAGACTAAAACCTGCAATTTTGGTCGAAGCAAGATGGCAAGCATCCGCGTCACTTTTGTATGGGAGTCTTCACCCCACCCCCGGCCCTATGGTGTAGAGAGAAACATCACTCTCTCCCCAGTATCACTCTCCATTTTCAGCCTTTCTCCATACTCTTCATTTTGACTGTTTGGGCATAAATTACTTGACTGCGAAAAAATATGGCCTGTTTTGTGGTCTGAGAAAACCACAGACCACTAGACCACTAGATCTAAAAGAAAATTCTGGTTTAACCTGACAGTGGACTTAACCTACAACTACAAGTATAAGTGTTAATGTAATGTGTTTTAAAAGTAATGTGTTTTATGTTGTCACTTTTAGGATCTTGTCATGATAAAGTAAGTGGTTACATCTGTAATTGCACAGTGGGCTTTAATGGCAGCCTTTGTGAGAATAACATTGATGACTGTGTATCTCACACTTGTAACAACTATTCATTGTGCGAGGATGGAATCAATAACTACACGTGTGTTTGTAAGCCTGGTAAGTTTGCAGCCTAAATTAGTCACAGGTATCATTTACACAGTTTCAACTCCATGCTCATCTTGGTTATATCATATTGTTATTGTCAGGTCATCAGTTTGAGTAGACCTGTTAGCTTGGCTGGCAAAAGTTGTTTGTTGCTCATTAAAGACCATGTGATTTTACCTTAAAAAAAGTTGTTTCCGTCATCCTATTTATACGTTTATGGATGCATAATTTATGTAGGGGATATTACATAGCCGTGCAGAGATATAATAGAGTAAACACCAATGAAATACATGTACCAAACCATTTTTACTTAAATATAGGCACAATTTATTCTGTGACCACTGAAACTGGTGATCTTTTCAGGGGTCAAGATATCACGTTTTTGCACAAAAGCCCGTATTTCATTGGCAATTATATAATAAGAAAAGATCAGTGATGCTGTTTCATAGGCATCATGTGTTAAATTCTGTATTCGTTTCTTCCTTGTAGGATATACTGGAGTCAATTGTACCACAGATATCAATGAGTGTGATTCAAGTCCTTGTCAATATGGTGGCAATTGTACGCATGGTATTAACTTCTATAATTGCTCGTGTCCTCAGCGGTACTCTGGCACAAACTGTGAAATTGACTTGGTAGATGATTGTAAGCCTACAAATCCCTGTTTCAATAATGCAACTTGTGTTGATGACATCAACAAGTTCAACTGCTCGTGCCTTCCTGGATATGAAGGCCCAAGGTCAGTTTTCACTTTCAAGTTAAGTTCGTAATCAGTAAAAAAAGAGCATCCACATTCGCTAGCTCATCCAGTCTTCATTGAAAGCTACTGTAAAACGGGCAACAAAAACGTGTATCTTATTTCGAAACATTGCCGCAAAACGAGTTGAATAGCGATGTGCACGTTTTGCTACCCACGTTCAAAGCCTGCCTTGCAACAAATCAAGTTGTGACAGTTTGCGTGAATACCGTCGTCTAATTGGATAAAATAACGCGGGAATCACGCCGTACACCGGAGTTACGTCACTTGCTGCAAAACAAGTTTCCTTGGTTCGGTAAAAGGCGCATGCAACTTGTACAGATTTTGTTGCAAAAAGTAGAACTACTCTCTACTTTCTGCAACAACGTTTCGCCACCTGCAATCAATACCTGCTCCTGAAAGACTGCCTTTTGGTTGGTAAACTTAAAAAGTATCTTTGAGTTCCGTGCTTCTTGAAAGGGGAAAAAGGACGACAAAAAATGTATCGCTTAGCGTGTACCCCCTTGGTTTCAAGGACATTTTTTGCAGATGTTTTTTTTCTTTGTTAGTATGCCGACTACTGGAGTATTGAAAGCAGTTATTGAACATGCATGCAATACCCCGCCTTTATGCCACATATGCGTCTATACGGTAAACATTACATTTTTGTACTTACTGTTAAGACGTGCAGAATGTTTAGGACAAGAAGAGCGCTTTCTGTGACTCATCTGTAGTCGCAGAGAACATTTACCTCAGGACCGTAGTTTTTTTAGATTGCAACTTTTGCAGGTGCGTTTTTGAAGCTGACTTCCTCAAGCTTTTACAGCACATGAAAGTTAAGGCCATACATTGTTGTAACTTTGTTCCGGTTAGTGAATAGAAAGATAGTGTGTGAGTTTTGAAATGATTCCAATATTCCCTAAGACACGAGAGCAGATATAAGTGATGTGATATTTCGAGTCATCGATCCGCATGAGGCAGATCTACAGAAGTAGAAGTAGAATGGTTTATTGATTACCTTACTAGCAGTATGGACTGAATTGCTAAAGTTTACAATGTATAGAAAAACGTTTTGAAATATAATTCCGAAAATACTTGCATGCTAACCATATGAATCCTGCAACTTCGAAAGTTTAAAATATTAGACTAACTAAGAATTGTTTAAAAATACTTGAACATTTGTTAATAAAGGTATGACAGCACCTATTGGTCTTGCATGGCTTTACACGTTATGATCTAGAGTTCCTGAGGGCCTTAGAGGGTCCTTCGTTGAATGGTATGAGAGGGTGCAAAATATCAAGGGGATTTTCTCCAATTTTGTTAAAAAGTTTTTTACACAGCTCTGTCCTTCTTTGCTCTAACGTAACAAGGCCTGAACGTGACAGGGCATCTGAGCAGTGCACTTCGCAACCAAAAATTGTCCGCAGAGCACGTTTCAGTATCCGTTCAAAAGTTATGGTTAGATATTGTGGAAGACTAAAATGACAAACCTGGCAGCCATGGGGTAAAACAGACTGGATGCAAGCAACATAGAACTGAACCAGTTCTTGAGCTTGTACTTTTGCACGCTTTAGTTGCAATAAAAAATACAAGCGTTTGGCACCCTTTTTTGTCATTTCTGTTACATGAGAGTTCCACTTAAGGTCGTCTTGAATATGAAAGCGTAATACCTTAACTACCTATACTGTATTAGTCTTACAACCGCATCGATTTCTACAAGTTAATGATTTGTCAGAGAGCGTGCAAATGTTATCCTTAGTTATTTCTTTTTTAAAACTGATTGGCGTAGATCGATATATGTTTTGTAACTTTATTTCTATATTTGTAGTTCCTTTTTCAGTCGATGTAATAGTCGTAGAATTATTTTGATTAGGTTGATAGAGAGCTGGTTGACATTCCACCATACCTTAACTTTTTTATTCAGAATTCATTACTTTCAAGGCTTTTCAGTTCAGTTCACGAACTGACGTTTTGGGTCTCCCAGTCGTTCGGTAGATTATTGTCATAAAGTAAGAAAACCAAGGACAATAGATAGTTCACGGAATTCCGCAAACAGAGTTCGCTCGAGTTATAGAAAATCTCAGTGTCTCAGTCATGAAAAATAAGAAGTTCATCTTCAGGCCTGGAAAGTTAGTCATAGAATTTAATGGTTAGTTGTGAAAAGTCAGGGAAAACTGTGTTGTTGTTTTCTTTTTTTTGGTTTGTGTTTTGAAAATGTTTGAAAGTTGACAGCTAAACGTAAGGTCATGGAAAACTGGACAAGTTCGTGCAAAAAGTCGTGGAAATTCTTGGAATTTCAAGAGCTCTAAAGAGTATGCAAACCCCACACAAGTCATCGCGTGCCTCGGTGATTCTGTATGGCCTATGGCTACAAACTGCTTCCTGTTCTAAATATGACTTGTGAATCATTACAAGGGAATGCCTCTAATTCCATATGATTATAGTTTCTTCAACAATATTAGTGGTTGACAATATGAAAACTTTCGAAAATTCTATAAATATTCCACAACTAGATGTAGATTATCGTCATATTGCTTTCCTGCAATTTCACTGGCATGTTGTGCTGTTGAATAGCCTTTTCTAAAGCCAATTTGGAAATGGAATATCGCTCTTTTCATTAATTTTTTGCAGTGAATGTCTCCTTTTGGTCAAGTCGGAACTGTGATTTCCCGCAAGCTTTATAATTAAACCGCTGTAGAATACCAATATTAAATTTTTCAAATTTTAAAATATTCACAGTGGCGTTATACGTGACGTCTTGCGTTCAAATACCTCGAAACAGAAAGTTCGTTATGAAAGAGCTTGTAATGTGGTGGGTCGGATGCTTATCAATTCGGGGAAGTTTGTCGGCTAAATTGCAACGTACATCAGTTAATGTGAAATGTTTCTAAGAACAATTGTTCTACCACGTCCATCATGTTCCCAGATGATATCAATCCTCATGTTGTTAGTCCTTATGTCTTGCAGGTGTGAAACTGAGACAAATGAATGTCTTTCTTCCCCTTGTCTCAACAATGGCACTTGTATTGACCGATTCAATAACTTCACCTGCAACTGTACGTCAGGATTTACAGGACATCGCTGTGATGTCGACATCGATGACTGCGTGATTAATCCTTGCCAAAACAATGCTACATGTGTTGATGGTATCAATCATCGAACTTGTTACTGCCCTGCTGAGTTTTATGGCGACGACTGCGACAAAGTGCGAGATGCATGTCATCCTAATCCCTGTGACAACAACGCGAACTGCTCTTTCGCCGGGAACTCATACAGCTGTAGCTGTGTGTTAGGATTTGAGGGTAGAAACTGTTCAGTGAACATCGACGACTGCAAAAATGACTCCTGTGTTGCAAACGCCACTTGCATCGATGGTGTTAATAACTTTACTTGCCAGTGTCCAGCCGGGTTCCATGGAGAGTTCTGTCATTTGGAAATCAAAGAGTGCGACTCAAATCCTTGTAAGAACAATGGGACATGTGTTGAAGGGATTGATGGCTATAACTGCTCTTGTGTGCTAGGATTTAATGGCACAAATTGTGAGAACAATATCGACGACTGTCCGTCACATAACTGTAACAACGGAACTTGTATTGATGGTATTGACTCATTCACGTGCAGTTGTACTTCAGGTTTCACTGGAGAATTTTGTGACTCTGACATAAATGAATGTAATGGTAAGGGTACTTCATAGTTAATAGGGGTTATTTAGGCAACTTCATGTACCTTCAAAGTACCCCCTTCCCTCCCCTGAGGACGACTTAACCTCTCAAACCTCATTACCTTACAAATTCTCTAGACTGATCTACATACATTTCCTTTAAGAATTAGTTCAGCCAATTTGTTAAAAGTTCAAAGCGTTTTCCCATAATTCTCATAATCTTTTCTCTTGATGATGTATGGATTCTGTTAGGATAAAATTGCTGAAAGGGTTAAGGAGGCACCCTTAAGGCCTTCGATAGTTGCTGTTATTAGAAATACGTACATGCGATACTAGTTCGTAGCTTGATCCTAGTTTCTTTTAAGTTATTAGTAAAGCGTCCGAACAAGCGATAGATTTGTCTCCTGACATGTGAACATTTGTGTTTTCTAGCCTATTTGAGTCATAATGTTTGTTTGTGTTTGTTTATTGTCAGCTAATCCTTGCAATTGTGGTACGTGTGTTAATGTCCCTGGTTCATACCGGTGCAATTGTGATCAATGGACAACAGGTGTACACTGTGAGATTGATATTGATGAATGCCAAAACCAGAGCCTCTGTAGCAAGCAGTTAAGGCAAGGTGTCTGCACCAACTACAACGCGGTGACGGATTACCAGTGTAACGATCATCTGCGGAAAGGATACGAGTGTTTTTGCAGAAATGGGTTCCAAGGTAAATTTAGCCTGCGTTACAGGAGGTAGAGGGAAAAGATTCGTACTCGCTTAAGGGGCGAGATGTGTGGATGGGGTGCCGATCTCCCCCCCAAAAAATGCCCGAATTCCTCTCTTCCCCCCCCCCCCTCTTCCCCCCCGACCCTGAATAGTGCCTGTCAGGAAAGTGACCCGTAATGAAGTGTAAGAAAAACCCCTTACGATAATGGCGTAGATTAGGCGCTTTTCATTTGCAGTATCGGTTTCTTCCCCTTATGATATTATTTATTTAATTAATAAACAGTTTAGCAATTTTTACTACAACGTGCCGACCCCTAGTCTATACTGTCGCGAGAATCTCGTTATTTCCCAAGGCAATACTGCGATTTTCGCAGAGAACAATTTCGATGTCATCGTGTCCTCGATATTTGTGAGGACGCGCGTTGTTTGGGAAAAATTCCAGTTCTATAAGAGTAATGCTTTTCTCTATTCCAGGTCATAACTGCGAATTAAATACCGATGACTGCTTAAGTTTGCCTTGTAAAAATGGCGCGACTTGCACCGATGGGGTTTTTTCCTACACTTGTACATGTGCATCTGGTTGGACGGGAAAAAACTGCGACACTGACATAAATGAGTGTGACCTGCATGTCTGCCAAAATGACGCAACTTGTCTAAACTTAGATGGAACATACAACTGCACATGTAAGCCTGGATTTTCAGACTTCAATTGTTCCACTGATATCGACGAATGTGAATCAAGCCCTTGTGTTAATGGAAACTGTACAGATCTGGTAAATGGCTTCAACTGTACCTGTTTTCCTGGATATACAGGTAACCTATTGAAACGCAAATAGTTTTGGACTACATTAAAGGGGCCATGTCATGCTCCTATTTGCGTTTTTTTTAAAAGGGCTTAAACTTGTTTTCGCGTCAATTGAATTCCAAAAATAATGGTCCAGTTTTGTTATTAAACAGGGTTCGCACAGTCTTGAAATGTCCTTGAATTTTGAGGAAAGTCCTTGAATTCCATTTTTCCTTGAAAAGTCCTTAAATTTCTTTGCAAGTCCTTGAAAAGTCCTTGAATTTTCTTCAACTTTGAATTTAGTGGCATGGAAAGTGCTTTTTGATGATTTTTCATTGTCCAAGACGGAATTATAAATTATGAATCATAGCTCAGAGAATTTAAAGGTTATTCACACAAAGTGCTCAATTTTTTATGCAATAATTAACTATCAATTTAAGACAAGTGAACTGCAAAATTTAGAGAAGTTGGTGAAGCAAACAGTTCAAGCCTTAGAGGCTTAAAAGAATAGACTGGAAATGTGCATTTTTGTACAATCTGTGAAATTATATTCCTAGTAGGTGGTCCTTAAAAAGTCCTTCAAAAAGGGTTGGAATTTTTTGTGTGAACCTTGTTAAAGAATTTATTTAGGCATTGAAACTGTTTCCTGTCGTCTGTTTCAACGGATGGCAAGGATGGACGTGGATTAAAACTAATTAGTGCACCTTGTTGAAATTTCGTCATAACTCTACAGGAGTAATTTGTGTATGGGTAAAGGCAAGAAATGCTGACTTCAGCACAGACTCGCTACGTGTCGAGTTCGCTACGTTGGAGTTCACTACCTGTTCGCTACGTATTACTTTCTTTCGGTAAACCATTTAAAAATATTTCCTTAATATCACTAAATATTTCTCTATATTTCTCGTTCTTTTACGCTTCCCCCTCCAAAGGTGCAAGTTTTGGACTTTGCCAATTGGCAGCGAGCCCAGTATGTTGGTAGCGAACTCGAACGTAGCGAATTTGAGAGGTAGAGAAACTGGTGTAAAGCCCCTCGTGACTACCCCGTTACGCTGTGATTTATGTCTACTAGCAGTGTATCGTAAATATGACAACATCATCATGATTTCTTTCCTAACAGTCCGCGCAGTCCTTTTAGAAGAAATAGTTTTTTGTAATCTGTAGCTAATGACCTAAATATGACCATTATAAGGCCTGGTTCTGATTGAACTACGGTTGTTGCCTGCACACCAACGTGATATTTTGAAGACAGTGTTGATCCTTTTTTAAACCTAAATGGTGGCCAAGATTTTTCTCACTGTACTTCATATATTTTACTTCCCTGGGGAAAACTATCGGTTTGATGGGTGGGGCCGGAAAGCCGGGGCTTCTCGCAAGCATGAAATTAATTGCAATACATTAGTCGGGGCAATTGATTCTGAAATTTTTTGTTTTAATTGGAGTATTTCAATATTTTTCATCCCATAGGAAAAAATTGCTCCGAGGATATCGACGAGTGTGCGTCTAGTCCTTGTATAAACAACGGAACATGCTATGATTTAATAGCTGATTTTAACTGTACATGCCCTAGTAACTACACTGGTAAAAGGTGTGAGACCAAGGTCACATCCTGCGTTCCGAATCCGTGCTTTAATAACGGCTCATGCACGCCACACCCAGAAAACAACAACTTCACGTGTGAATGCTCTCCGGGGTTTGGAGGTGCGCTATGCGCGAACGTGACCACCATTGGATTGAGCGGCTCGTCATTCATGTTTTTCCAGCTTGACAGAAATGCCTTCGAGCTTTCGTTTCAGTTTCGGACCACTCTAAGCTATGGCCTGCTTGCGGCTGATTCACAAAATACTTTTCTTGTGTTTCTCGAAACAGAAAATGTTACTATCGTGTACAATAAGGTTACTAAGCTTTCTGTAGGCAAGACAGCCAACCTCAGCGATGGCCACTGGCACACAATTCATATCAACATATCTTCAAGCTCTGTGAGCGTGACAGTTGATAACTCTTCTTGCGGTCAACACTGCGTTGCTTCATCTTCTCTGCAAACTCAAGTGAGCTTAACAGATCTTTACGTTGGTGGATCTCCATTTGGTCCAAGTTATGATCATAATACGCTGTATAATTTTACTGGCTGCTTCCAGGACGTAAACATAGACAGGAACACTGTGATTCCCACAGGCTCACAAGTGTCTTTAATCAATACTAGTATTGGATGTCTCCGCCGTGAAGTTTGTGCTTCGAACCCCTGTGCTTATGGCAAGTGTGTAGATAAATGGATCAAGTATAGCTGTGAATGTGAGCGCCGCTGGATTGGCCCACAATGCAATGCAAGTGAGTAATAACCAAAACTAAAAGACAAATCGCACAACATTTTGACCAAATTTTCCTAAAGTCGCCTTAAATCTTCTTAAGTCGCCTAAAATTACGGCGACTTAAGGTCCCAGAGTAGGCCTTAAAAGGATAAGGCTGTTAAATGTTTCTGTTTAAAATGAGCTGCAAAAACTGTTCCCATCTGAGACAACAAGCAGGACCAATACAAGATATCATGTGACAGTAAGATGTCTGTTTAAACGAGGCAATGCGTGTAATTACCTGGGTGATCATAATGCATCAAGTGATGTTGTAGTTATTAGTGATCGATTGCCAGAGCAATCAGGCACGTTGTGATTGAATGACACTAATCAAAGGGTTTTACATCTGTACTTGTTAAGCTTGAATTTCGAGTGCTTGTAGATTAAGTAACAATAAGTGTTGTAATTAATCGAAAAAATAAGTCACCAGCAAGAAAAGTCAGTCTTAAAAATGGCAAAAAATCGGTTTCCTCAAGATGCGTTTTTAGTGATCTGTACAGAAAATTGCGTTCCCGCAGTTTTCCTTTTTATCCTTTGCACGAACATTATGCTTTGGTAACGCCCATGTTCTCTTCATTTCAGCTTTGATTCCAGGTTCGTTTGGTGCAACCGAACCGTTGAACGTTGCTAGCAACAGACGGCGTCGGGATATTCAGAGCATGCAGAATGCGAGCTTTGCTAAATTTCTTACCAACCGTACAAGTTTTGGCGCTTCTGGAGAATTATCATTCTTCATCCGAACTCGAGAACATAACGGTCTCGTGGTATTTATGACAGACAGTGGCGACAACCATATTGCTGTTGTTGTTTATGAAGGATTCTTGACTATTCAAGTGAAGTTAGACGGGGTAAATTCAAATGTGACGCTCAATGAAAGTATAAATGACGGAGAATGGCATTTCGCGGAAGTACAAGGCAACATGTTGCGCCTTGATAACCACACACAGGAAGTTGTTCTAACCGGAGGGAAAAGTATTAACTTAACTTTCACCTTCATTGGAGGATTGGATGACTACAATCGGTTCCCTGATGCCTTTCTTATAAGAACCCCATTCCGGGGCTGTTTGCAGGACATTCGACTCAACAATCAACTGTTTGATTTCGGCTTTACGCCTCCCTCGTTGATTTCCATGGATCAGTATCAGTTACTAGCTAGTGGTCATGTGGGTGAAGGGTGTAAAGGGATGAACGTCTGTCGTTCCGCTCCATGTGGTGTTGGAGGGTACTGTAAAGATTTATGGAACAAATATCAGTGTGACTGCAAACCACGCTATGGTGGGACGGACTGTGCACTGTATGGTTGTGCCCTGGTTAACCTGTGTCCTGCCAATACAACTTGCAGAGATGTCGGTGAAAATTACGAGTGTAAGTGGTCAACTATTTAAAATATTAATTCTTTTATTCTCGAAGTTTTTAAAATAAATTTTGTGCCAACTATATCACCCCAAGAAGGCGAGGACTTAGATTTATTATAAGAGTGAAGGGTCCAGTTATCTGTACCAAAAGACTCAGTATCACTAGCCACGTCTTTTGGATTGATATCCCTTCAGGATCTTAATTTTCCAGCTAAATACTATTTTCGGCCGCTATCACTTTCGGACTCTTAAAGTGCGCAAGTACGTTGAAGCAACGAAAATTGATCGGAGCGTTTAAACGGTGTCAATTCAATCCAATATTTTCCAATATCTGTGTACGTAGACAAAGTTGTTGATCAAAGGAATTTTAGACGAAAGCCCAAACTATCCCAAACTATGTTGCAACGCTCTTCCAACAAGGTTTCAATGTTATTTCAACGTTTCTCACCAATATTGGAAGAATTGGTCATGCGGTGCCAAGTCAGTGTCGCTAAGTGTTAAACTATTGCTGGAACCCACGCACGCTCTCATCAATGCCAGAAATGGTATTGAAGCAAAAGGATTCCTGTCATCAACGTATCTGCAAAGATTGCTATGTGCTTTTTACACAGTTAGGGTTGACTTCATAACTAGCTTGGCTTTGGCACTCCACCCTCTGATCAGAGACAGTGAGGAATTCTATGTGTATGGGACTCAGGGTAGAGAGAACTTAGAATTTTTTCTCGTTTATTTGATAGGTGTACGTCCTGTCACATTGAATGGCAGTTCAAGCAGTGCAGTGTTCAAATTCACTTCAAACGTTAATGTCAGCTTCAGTGTGTCCCTGAGAGTGCGGACAAGACAGCCATCGACTAGTTTGATTGACATAAATCAAGACCAGAATACTTTCTTTAAGATGGAGGTCGCGAATGGGCGAGTAAGAACCCATTACCTTTTAGAAGGAGAAAGTGTTTTAATATTGTCAGGTAAGAGTCAATACAGTTCGGCACAAATTTCGGGGAACCCTCTATATGTACTGAGGGTGTTCTACCCTTAAATATAGGTCATAGTGCTGTGAACTGATACTATTTATCACTGCATACTGGAACGTATCGCCTTGTGTATTTTAAACTGTTTAAAGTTCTCAGATAGGAACATGTTCACGATACATTTCTCGGTTATAATCTGGTAAACTAAGACCTAACAACAAAGTGCCTGACCTAATGAACATTTGGTTGGGTACCCTGGCTCCAGAGGTCCGTTCTTGAAATATCTAGGATGAAGTACACCGTTCTTACGGTTTGAGAAAGTGAGGCGTTTCGCCGCGAACTGTCAGGAATTATAGATATAGGTAAAAAAATAACCTCTAGAACTCAGGGTAATGGTTGGGAGGGGATTTATTAAAACTACAGAACACAGCCAGGACCCACCTATCTACAGAAAGGCTTGTGGTGCCTCAGCATACCCTATTGGGACACCGTCTACCTTTCAGGAACTTCTGTCAACTTAAAATCTTAAATTTTGGTTTGTGTTTGTATTTTCAGATGTTTTTGTTAATGACGGCCGATGGCATGACGTCGTCTTCAACGTCACCAATAATCAAAGTCATGTTACTGTAGACGGTAGCAAGACTTATAACTCATCCAGACTTCCTAGTAGGGAAATAACCGGCTTATTACAACGCACTTCAGTTTTGGTTGGCAACTCGGTGTTTAAAGGTTGCTTAGATAATGTCCGCATTGGAGGTCTTTTGCTCCCGTTTGTTGATTACTATAACGGTACATTGAATGTAAGTCATGTGACACCATTAAAACCTCACTTTAACGCCACCATCCGCGGAATACAGCTTGGTTGCCATGGTGATGATGTCTGCGCCATAAGTCCTTGTGTACGCGGTGTATGCGGTGACGTTTGGAACCAGTTCACGTGTGCGTGTCCCGAGGGATGGGCGGGGAATGTTTGTAACCTGACCGCTAACATGACTTGCGCACACTCCCCGTGCGTGAATGGCACGTGTTATAACCTAACGCACGTAAACGTTCCAACCAATGAGAACCAAGTAAGTGACGTTGGATTTGACATGTTTGGCTGTAACTGCACCGCAGGATTTGAAGGAAAGCGATGCGAGAACGACACGAAGGAATGCGCCTCTGGGCCTTGTCAAAATGGAGGAACCTGCACAGAATTGCACCTAAACTACAGTTGCTCGTGTACAACGGGTTTTATGGGAAGAAACTGCCAAATAAATATTGATGACTGTGCAGACAATAACTGCACCAACAATTCCACTTGCGTTGATGGAATTGCGTCTTATAACTGTTCATGTGTAGATGGTTTTAATGGCACCTTCTGTGAGCTGGATATTGATGAATGTGCTGACACGCCGCCTTACGGTCCTTGTAACGCTACGGGAACACGCAGTTGTAACAACACTAAAGGTAACTTCGCTTGTGACTGTAAACCGGGATATTTTGGTGCCTTGTGTCAGTATGATCCTTCTTTGACCTGTGAGATAAGGGCACCCTGCAAAAATGGGGGAAATTGTTCGGATAACGCAACAGCCTTCAGTTGTTCCTGCCCTGCTGGTTATAACGGTACACTCTGTGAATTTGACATCCACGAATGTGCTGACTTACCTTGCATTAACAATGGAACATGCATCGACAGTCATGTCAACAAGTCGTACTTCCCCGGTTATGAATGCCAGTGCACCGTGGATTACACTGGAAAACAGTGCGAAAAGCTCATTGATTTATGCAATGAGTATCCATGTAAGAACAATGCAACGTGTGAAAGGTTAGCATATAACGAATACAGATGCAACTGTACAGAAGGGTTTGGAAATGTAAATTGTAGTGGACTATTGGCGAACTGCCTTCCTAATCCATGCAAACGTGGAGTTTGTATCCCGTTAATGGATAGTTACGTTTGTCAGTGTAACTCTGGATATACAGGGAGCAATTGTGATTCACTCATTGACAAGTGCGACTCTAATCCTTGTCAAAACGGTGGTACTTGCACTGCGGAAGAAAACTTCTTCAATTGTTCCTGCAGCTCAGATTGGTTGGGTGGACATTGTGAGTTTAAAAATCCCTGCTCGCGAAACCCTTGTGAGAATGGTGCTTCTTGTGTAGTGAATGATCAGCTTGGAAACTTTTCATGCGTGTGCCCTGATAAGTTTACTGGACAGTTTTGTGAAACACAGCTCACATCGAGTCCTCCAGTTGCAAAGGAATCTCGGGTATCTCCGTATCTTATCGGTGGGGTGGTAGTGGCGGGCCTCGTTGCCATTTCACTTTTTATTCTTCTGATTTTGGCTCTGAGGAAACGAGCGGGTAACGGTACTTATAGTCCAAGCAAGGAGGAAGGACAAGCTGGCCGAGTGGAACTGGATTCCATACTCAAACCTCCACCCCTAGAGAGACTCATATAATTCCCTGCATATTGCAAGCGAGTATCCAACTGGCGAAATGTATTGAGGAGGAAATAGACAGGCTATAGACTGCCAATTTCTAAATTTAAAGGAAATCACAAATTTATGGTTGCAGAGTACTTAAAAACGACGAAGATCACCTGCCTTATCCTTTCTCCTCACCCATCAAGTCAAAATTTATAGACTTAGATGCTTTGGTCGATGTTTGACTCTTAAGATCTAATAAATACGATACGCGTTCACGAAAACTGAACATGCAGAGTGTCATTCTTCAAGTTGAGGATCTTCTCAAGGAAGACTGATGTACTACAGACTGACAGATTTCACCGGAATTTTACGCAAGAGAAGATTTCTCCCACGAAAACATGAGAGTATGAAAGACCCCAAGGAATAAACATCATCAAACGGATTTGTTCGCAAGATCTCGTTTGGTAGAGGACGATAGTAAGCATAGGTTTTAAAAGATATTTTTCATGGTTGCCGTGTCACTCAGATTGATCATCAGTACATACAGCTATTTCGAGAAAGGTTGTCAGCAAAAATGTGCACGCGACAATCCCGAAAGGTAATGTGGGATATGATCAGTACACTGTTCCTGACTCTGTAGCTGTCAAAACTTCTTTAGTGTTGCTTTCCTTTAGCGCGCGCAAACATACGTCCATGGCCTCTTGTGCCCTTCTTCCTTGAAGAACAGCGAACTCAAAACCACCCACAATACCTTTCGGGATTGTCGCGTGCACTTTTTCCGACAAGCTTTCTCGAAATAGCTGGATATGTTGATACATAGGACCTGGGCCTCACATGTGCATGCACACAAGCACAAAATTTGGGTCTAGAAGTAAAGTTGGCGCCAAAGAATAATTCCAACTTGGCAGGAAAAGAAAGACATTCGTGTTTATGCTTAAGTCGAGCACCTTATTAGAAATAACAACGACTTAAGCATAGGCAAAAGAGGAGCAGGACATTTTGATATTTTTATGTTTATGTTTTTATTTCTGCTTTTCTCGCTGTAACGGGTAAGGTGAAACATCTTGTGCTATAGTCGATAGTAACGGCCGGGCTCACGGGCTGCTCCAGTGCGTGCTAAAAGCGAAAGTTCAAGAAACATGCTTCAGTGTAAACTGGCGTGACACACAGATGAGCAAACTATCAGTTTTTCTTGCGATTATTCTGGTATTACGAACATGTAATTTATGTGCGACGCTGCCAGACAAGCAAAACATCAGCTCCCTTTTTCCTTTCTTCCCAATCCCCTACCCCTTTCGACGCCTGCTACGCAGGCTAAGCATCACAAGAAGTTAGTGACAACTTATCCTTGATTACATACCCTCTTTGCGTATAATTATCCTGTGAAAGGTTCTTGTGCTTATTCTCTGCTTGTTGTTTTTATCAATGTTTCACTTCTAGAATCATTTTTAAACACGATGGTTTTCTTATATAATAGTTTGTGGATGAAATCCTGTTATATATTTGATCATTCTGATTAAACGTCTTCAGGAATGAAAGGGGAAATGTTAACACTTGTCCCAAGAATTAATATTTCATGTTTCAGACTAAGGCCCGTTTCGAACGTCGTGCTACTGCTGTGGCGAACTCAATTGATCGAATTAAATTCGACTTTAGCACGGCAGTAGCGCGACACTTGAAACCAAGTCGTGCTACTGCCGTGTAGCACGGCAAGCCTTGCCTTGCTACACCGTAGTAGCTCGACTTGGTTTCAAACGTCGTGCTATTGCCGTGCCGAACTCAATTCATAAATTATAAATACATTAGAGTATATTTAAAAGTCTGCTAAACCGTTTCTTCATTTTTGTGTTTTGTTTTCGGCAACAGCCGTGCTATTCGACTAAATTAAATTCGATGTCTGAAAGCAAGTAGTGCTAGTGTCGTGCTGCAGTCGAGCTACAGTCGAGCCAGCTTAGCACGGCAGTAGCACGACGTTTGAAACAGGCCTAATTTTTTATGACTCTGCCAATATCATCTTTGATCTGTAACAGAAGATTAAATGAGAAATATGACAAAAAGATTCGGAAATCTGGCGTAAGGAAGGATTTTTACAGACCTTTGCATTGTGAACGTAATTTAAATCTATTTCAATGTCGTTTGTTGCCTTCAGCCGATATTTTCTCAGTGGTTTTCTACAACAGGGCGTGCTTTCTCGTTTTTCGTACTTCAGAAATATATTTAATAACCCAATGTATATAGGCGCCTTCCGTAGAATTGGTGTAATAAAAAATTATTTTAAGTTAATTTTAAATTTACGTGACTACAATGTAACTAGCAAACGTTGTATAACGTTTTTATATAGTTTTCATAAAAGAGTGTGGTTGCTATTATGTGTGTATCTTGAAATCCGCTTTAAAGTTATCGGTAGGCCCTGATGGTTTGGTGACACCTATTTGGTGCATTCTCTCTCACCCTGCGAGTGACTGCATGAATCAAGTGAGGTCGTTGTTGAGCATGCGCGGCATATTGTTAGGATATGGTTTCGAACCCAGGCCTAATAATCATGCGCTTCAGCGGGATCGGCTATCGTCATCGGTTTATCAATCAACGGATACTCGCACTCGAATAAACCTGATTGACGGGAGGAAACAAGATTGACTAGTCCAGAAGTTTGGGCTGCGGTGACCTTAAAAGCTTGACGCGATTCTGGGAGACCTTCCTTGTCTCCTTCTCACTCAAGAAGACAACAGAAGGCTATGCTACGGGGTACTGCATTTTGTGTGGTTCAGTTTAGCCTGTTCCAGGCTCTCAGATAGCGGGGAAGACGTGAAAGTGAAAGGCACGCGAAAAGTTGGCGGGGCGAGAAAAAGGAAAAGTTTCTTCCCGTTGTTATTATTATTATTTTTTTTTCATGTTCGCGCTTTCTCAATTCAGCGGACCCAACTATCTCCGAGCCTGGAACAGGCTAGGTTCAATTCGATTCGAATATCTCCTGTCGTTACCGGATACGATTTAATAAGGCCCTACACTGGGCAATTTGTCTCTCAATTTTGTGGCCACACATCTTGCAAGCCTTCTAACTCCCCCTGAAATAAAGCCTCCTCGCAAGTTGCAACGGTTCCTTACAGCAAGTGTTGCACGAAAAAGAATCAAGTGTTATTTCTCGCAACGTTGCGACATCTATTGTTTGGCTTTTGACGAATAATACACGGGATAATAGTGAGCTTAAGCAAAGACGTTTTTGAGAGACGCTCGTGACCGGAAGTCCACTTTTTGCACTCTTTGACAGTGTTTTTGCCCAAATGTTTCAGGAAAATCATCTCTATGAGGGGAAATACACTGAGCAGTAAAAATTTGGTAGCCTCAACGCACGTTAAAAGGGAAAAGGCATTGCGTGAAAGGGAAGCTTTTATAGGAGCGGCGTCTAGGATGGAATGCGCTTACATTTCCAAAGGGGTTACATTAAAGAAATTGCCAGGATTTTAAGGTTGAAAGTAGATCAGAAAATGGACAAAGAATGTACCGTACAAAAAGAAGTCATGTGGCATCATTCCCTACTCATTATGAATTTCTGTATTGGCCACGACCGCTACTAGTTTTTAATTCGATTAACGACCGCAGGTGCAAATTTTGTTTTTGCCAAACATAACTTTGACACAAGTTTAGGTGAAAATGTTCCGCTTACTTGGATATATTGTAAAGCAAATTGCTGATGATCAACTGAATTTCTTCTCTTAGAAGGGATGAAAAATCTGGGCGTTGGCGGACATGTTGGAAATAATATTGTAAAGAACAGAAGTTTCAAAACAACGTAACTATATATGACATCTGATACTCTTAGTTCAATAAAAATCCTTAACACTGAAATTAGAGAAATTTCTAAATTATTATAAAACCTTCTATATTCAATAAAAAGTCTTAAAAAGACCGTGGCATACGTTTTAACGGACATTTAAGGCTCGCACGCCCCGTGCGCCTCCTTTTAAAGAGCGATATTAAAGGGTGGAGAATCTAAACATACAAAGCCATAAAAAAACATAGCGCCGCACGTTTTCGAATTTTTAGCAGCCATTCCCTGTCTTTTATTATTCACACTTAAATTTCCACTGATATTTTATTTTACTCAACACATAACAAATAGTTTTTCATCGAAAGTTTAATATTCCAGTTATAAATAACTAGTGCTTTTAAATTGTTCCTGTTGTTGCGACTGACTCCCTGGCCCTTAGTTCGTCCATCTTGTCAGCTGCTTTTACCCGTTCTTTGGGAATCGTCTGATGTTGTTTCCAGATGGCCAAGTCTTAGTGCTAAGTGCAGGACGGGAATTAGGTGGAGGGGCGGGGCCAAATCGCCCTTGCCGTTTGGCGTTTTGGTCATCTGAAAGGTAAAACAATGAAAAGTCATGTAATTAACGAAAAACCTAACACTATGACTATGTTCGTCAACCTGAGGAAGTGTCATAGCACGAGTATGGGGGGTCTAAAATAAAACAGAAGAAACACATGGTTGATTGAGATTCAACAAACACTTCAGAGTGTATTTTAGTTGGTTGGATTTAGGCAAGCTCTATGGGAATTCCTTGGAATTGAATTCTATAAGAGAATGTATGAGAACAAACAAAATACGATCTAAATTCTGCTTTTTGATAGGATTCGAAATAAAATTGACCTTGTGTTGTGTGCTTTGCAGTCGGTTCGCTTCAAAAATAACCACTCAAAACGCTGAAACGTAAAAAGAAGGTATATATTACACAGCAACACGGAGGCACGGATGGAAAAACTTGAAGAAGATTGAAAGAGGGTCTCAATGGGGTTAACCGATAGGCGTAAAACGGCCAAAAATTTAGTCGATAGCCGTAAAAATTGAAAAATTTTAACCGTTAGCCGTAAATAGAGTAAAAAAGAGTTAACCGTAAAAGAAACTTTTCCCTAGATTTGCTACTTTTAAGGGAGCTACTAAACTCACTTATGGTTGCGTTTTTTATTTCCCGGCTAGTGTGACTCCGTACGCACGTTAGGCGAAGCGTCTTTTAGGTGTTGACCAAGACCTAGGCT